CTCTCTCTCTCTCTCTCTCTCTCTCTCTCTCTCTCTCTCTCTCTCTCTCTCTCCTCGCAAAGGAGTTCCCTCTGGCCTATTGTAGCAGCTGCTCCTTCGTCCTCCGGTACGCTCCTCATGGCATGCACTCACTCGTGGCTGAAGTTATTCCGTTGCATATTTGCTAGCGCGAATTTGTGCTTCACCTTCAGAGCTTGTTCGAGTTGTTCATGATTTGATTCTTAATGTGCGACGCGGTATCGCTGACCCACGTCTGCGGAACACCCAAAGTCTTACACCAGTTGAGCAAAATCTTGGCTGTTAGAGCGGCCGTGCATGACTCCGTTGGTTCTAACCACACGAAGTTGCTTAGACCATCCATTACCACTAGCATGTATTTGAATCCAACTCCTTCATCCCAGCCTTCGACATTCAACGGTCTACTCTGGCCAACATATAGATGGACAAAATGAATCACTTCGCCCGGCCTTGTACCATGTATTGTTCTCCAAGCGGCCTTGGAATCATTCCACCCGCCCTCGTATCTACACAATGCAAGCACTGCTTGACAAAGTCTTTCACTTGATTTTCCATTCGAAACCAACAGCAGGACTCTTGTGATCGTTGCAAAGTTGCCACCGTACCCTGATGTCCTGCGCCTTGCATATGAGCACAGACCATCAGACGTTGTTGTAGTTCTTTGGCATGTTCAGAAATCCACATGACCCCACCTTGATTCAAAAAGCTTCTTCACCGTCCTTCACGGCCTTTCCATGCGGCGCCATGAAAACTTCCGCTCCATGCACTCTATTAGTTCTGACTCGCACTCTGCTGAACTCGACGAATAACCGCTCCCGACGACATCGTGTCGTCAGGTTCGCTCGAAGCAAACACAGCCACAGCCCTAGCCTTCACCGCGGGAACATTGACCCACCTCGAAAGTAAGTCCTCCCAGCAGTTCCTCTCGCCAGAGATGTGCATGATGGAATATTGGAACTGCGCCAACACCATCTTCCACTGCTCCAGACGATGGGCAGTGGTTTTCGGCAACGACAACACGCACGAATCAGGATTGAATATGTACACTACATTGCGGTGGTCGGTGTATACACTTTGCAACACCGCCCCACAGCCGGGTAGTCCAGCCGCTTGCACGTGCCAACGATGGCGAACCCTTTTTGTCGATAGTCGCCCACCTCATCTGAGAGCTCTTGAACGTACCACTGAGGAAGGCGAGCGGCTCGTGGGTGATATCTT